ATCAAACTCCACGTAGAGTAAACGCCACTGCTGCTCCATGAACACACGTGCGTTGTAATACGCAACGGTTAAAATGCTTTCATAGATTGCAAATGCGGAATGTTAGACAAGAGGTTATTCTGTAAAGCGGCAACAGGCCAAAGCACTCGCATGCACCCTTTGTGAAGCGCATCATTTGCTACTACACATCGTTCACCTGAGCGTAGTTTGTTGGTCGTTGTGGGATAATGGCAGTTTGCGCAGTTCAGGAATCTAAACGACAACCCTGGGCTCATTGCTGATGCAGGTCACGCCACCCATACGGGAAGGTAGGCAACGGGTAGCAATTATACTCACCTGCTGAGCGGGGGAGTCGCATCAACTATAAAACACCGCCTACCGTTAACGCGAGTGTCGTTCCCTGTTGAATAAAAGTTGCAGTACGACACACATTGACAATTCCGAATGCTCTTCAATTGGGAGGTGTCCCACGCGTGTCCTTGGTAGATCTGCTGACGCACCATCTGTGAGGCGCAACAGTTGTTTATACAAATCGTGCGATTTTGCGTATGTTTGTGGTTGTTCTCACAGAATGGCAGTCAGAATAACAGAGAGGTCCAAACGATGCCTCATTGCTACAATGCAAATGGACGTCAAACTAGACTGTCCCACGATACACGCAAATGCCCCTGTCGTACCTCTTAACTAAATATTCCACATAAGTGTATCTGCTGTTGGATGTTCCCTAAACACAAAAAGCGAACCGAGCCGAATCTCAAAGGCGGAAGAAAAACGATGATGCTATATACATCATCAGAATATCAAAACAATGATGCTGGCTACATAGGGGAGTCCACAGTGAATCGTTCCCCGCTGGATGAGCAAAACGCATGGACCAGTAAAAACACGGATCCGAGATACTAAAAGCTCGTTTGGACCACGTACGCATCGTAGACTGATGGAAATGGGCGGCGGAGAACAAACAGATGAACCGCTAGCTAAAATGCATATCAGGGACTGATCCGTAAAGTGCAGCATACACTGGAGTGTCCGCATTCGTCTGTGTCACGTAATAGCTGCAAAACGCTGCACACGAAACTACCGGCTCTTCCCGTTCCTCTGCCACTGTGATGCACAACCACATACTTCAGGCTGATAGGACTCCTCTCTGTGACCCGCTCTTGGCTTTCCCGCCCTCGCCCAAACAGTCACTAGCCTACGCAGCTAGAGTAGCTGACGGTGCTACAGAGCCGTAAACCTTCAGTAACCGCGCACTAGCTGGCTCAGTAACCGAGCACTAGCTGGCGCCTCCTACAGCGTATAACGCTGAAAATGTGCCACGTCACATATTCTATCCCGTGCTTCCTGATATCCGACCCTGTGTCGCACACGTGCATCGCGTTATCGAAGGACTCCGAGCCAGTAGAAACCAACAACCCTCACGGAAGCAAAATCACTGTGATGCACAACCACATACTTCAGGCTGATAGGACTCCTCTCTGTGACCCGCTCTTGGCTTTCCCGCCCTCGCCCAAACAGTCGCTAGCCTACGCAGCAAGAGTAGCTGACGGTGCTACAGAGCCGTAAACCTTCAGTAACCGAGCACTAGCTGGCTCCTCCTACAGCGTATAACGCTGAAAATGTGCAACGTCACATATTCTATCCCGTGCTTCCTGATATCCAACCCTGTGTCAACACGTGTATCGCGTTATCGAAGGACTCCGAGCCAGTAGAAAACAACGACGCTCAAGGAAACAACATCAGGATCAGCGTCCACAGCACTATGCAACTGCTTCAATCTGCAAAGACGGGCAAGTGGATTCATGACTGGTGTGGAAGATGCCTGGAGTGCGGCACGTAGCGCCAGAACGAGGTTTCCTGACTGCAGGCACAGATTTTCTTCTAAACGGTTACGGCAGTTAGGCACCTTTCCGTTTGGCAAATCCGGTTTCTAATCTGTTGCATACTTTCTGCGGAAAACGACGTGGGATTACAGGACTAGAAGGTCCTAGATCGCATCCCACCCCCATGCGCTCTCCGGAAGGACAGCAATATCGCAGGGTGCTGAGGCATGCTGATCCCCTACCTCTTGGTGAAAAACTGGGCTTCTGTGCCTTGGCAGAAGGCCACGACCGATGTGATGCAAATAAATCCAGCCTGTTTAGAACCAATTACACACGAATTCAGCGCGCTGCCATGGGCGTCCCTGTGGTGTTAGGTTTTAGCTGCACACAAACGAGAATTGAAGAGAATCAAAACAACGAAGATATATGGGGCGCGTTGACCTCAGACGTGCTGCTCCACGTCCGTCTCGGGTGTTCATGAAAATATAGCGCGAACATTCGATCACCCGATGCGTAGCATGAGGCGGTAATTTTGAAATGCCTAATAAAGGAGAGGTAAGTTCCTATACCAAGCCAGAAGCATCCACCTGGGATACGAATCCTTCTTGCTGTCATGCAACTCTGTACCGATGCAACGACGCACGGGTTCCTTGTTGTCTAGCGCCATGCAGACCTAGGCAATGTATGCGTCAACATAGGCATGAACGTATATGCACGTGCTTGCACAAGGGTGCTTTTGCAGTTTGAGCACGACTATGAACTAGATTTTTTGGAACAGCACTACAGCCGAACGATCTGCTGTTTCTCGCACCGCCGGCTTCAGCCTGCACTCACGCAGACGGTCTCAGCATGCGTTAAAGGGCCGTCATTAATCTTACTTCACGGGGGAAGCGAATCAACCGGCACACATTCCTTTGAACGACTCCGCAGATTGACACCCAAGGCCGAGTCACTCCGTTGATGGCCGCGTCTGGAAAACCATTAGTGCAGTATATGCCAAGGACGAGCACTACACGGAATTGTCCTCCCCATGGAAGCTGGAAAATGTACAACTATGCATATGCAATTGCAAGCTGGTCTTCACATAACATAATATATTGCATAAACCCGTACAACCACCCCTAAGGCAATGAGGGTTCGTCCCCTTCAGGCTCGTACAAACTGCCTAAGCATTTCAAGATTTCTCACCTCTGTGCTGCCAACAGAAAACCTAGCACATACCTCCTGACACAAACAGGGTCGTACCGCCATATATGGCGTCGGCAAATGGTGACCGTAAATGTGTGGACACAAACTACGCATCCCTATACTACTCACACATGCATTTCCCCTGAGTCTCCGCAAAAAACAGTGTACTCCTAACGGCCAATGTCGGTGATCCCAACCAGTGCCAGCGAATCAAGCCCAGGCTACAAACTGGTAATATGAAAATGCTTTCGGCTGCGTGGAATGTACTTGTAAGATCTCGGCCTGGTGAATAATCCAATACTATGGAAAAATAAAACGGGGAGCGGAAATAAAATAAGATGGGTTGTACCATCTTCGACTCGAACGATGCACACGGGGAGTGAATGCCTTGTACCGAAATCAATATTCAATGGATGTATTCATTAACTGCAGATTTTCTAAGCACAAAGCAGCTCAAGCAACCTCGGGCAGCCAGACATGCAACCCTGCGTCTGCCTTCGTCCGCGTTACCGAATAGCTGTAAATAGATGCACAAAAAAAGCTACCGGCTCCGCCCTGTGCTTTGCCATTACCATCGGCACAACACAATTCAGGCTGATGGTGCTGCCTTCTGTGACCAGCTCTATGGTCATCCTGTCTTCCGCCAAACAGCGGCTAGCGTACACAACAGTGGCCAAAGATGCTACATCTCCTTAGGTCTAAATAATCGAAAGGTCGCTGGCCATTCCCTGAAAATCTTGCGCTGGGCATCTAACACCTCACACATTCTAGCATATGACCATGCGGCGCACAAGCATAATGAGTTTTCGCAGCACTCTGAGCCAGTAGATACAAATGACGAACTTACAAAAACAAGCACATCGTCATTCTCAGACTGCAACTGCTCCGGCCAGCTCCCACAGGCATATAGTTTTATGCTTGCCACGAACAGTACCTCATATGCGACAACTAACTCTTCAAGGACGCTCTTCAACTTTCGGCATTACAGCTGCGCTACTAGCTGTAACAGCAACTAGGTGTTGCGTATCTTGGCGGCTACTGCAGGTAGCTAGGCTCATACAGTCTGGCCAAAAGAGTGGGCACTTGCAGCGCCAGAAATGGCTTCTAGCTAGCGCAAACGCATAGGCTCGGAAACACAGTATGCAACCGCTGGATGCACATACATCCACGCTCCCATGTTCTCCTAATATACAAGTTGCAGCATGGGGCATATCTGGCCAATGACCAACGGGGGTGAGGAAACTGTCACAATGAAGGAGCGATAGCACGTGTGTGAGCTAGGGTCTGCTATTTCATGTACGCTTCGCATGATGATAGAGACGTGCTACGAAAAGTTAACCATGTGATGCGAATGCCGTCACAGCAACAGCGATACAGTTGCGTGGTGCACTGACTCCCAACAGAACATGCGCCTTTCCCAGATCGAATTGCTAACGAAGAATATGAACACTTCTTGCTTACTTGTAACTCAATTGCGAAAACTTGAGCGACGGGGTCCTGGCTCTCTTGCGTAAGCGCCATGAGGATACGCCCATTGTATGCAGCATGGTAAGCATATACGTCTATGCACATGCTGACACAGTTGTGCAGGCTCAGTTAGAGGGCGGGGACAACCGTCACCAACTGCGGTTTTGGTGCTGCTCAGGTGCACCACAAGCACCGCCTGCAACCTGAACTTCACTAGACTAGTTGACAGCTGCAAAGTGTGGCAGGTGCCCCCGTCAGTAATGTAGAAAGCCAGCAGTCCGAATAATGGACGGCGTGCTAATGCCTCCTTTCATGCACTTCTTGCATATACTGTCCCAAAAAATATCGCACATCGTTTGAAATGTAAGACCGAGTCCCGCAGACCCATGCGGCTTACAAAAACACCCACCACCAGTGGAAACGGGAAAATAGGCTGTTTAAGAAAGTGAATTCCTAGTCGTCCTGAAGCTTGCATAGATTCAGATGCATATCCGTGCCTGTTCCCTTACGTTCTGCAAAGCAACAGACCCCGTAGCCGCGCGAAGAAGATGGATGTGCGCCGACAGCTTCCTTATTGCTACTGCCTAGACTTGCAAACGCGTGGTGGACCAGCGCTGTTGGCACGTTATCATGAGCGTACTGCCTTGCCATAACATTGGAGGATCGAAATGGCAGATACGGCGTCAAGGCATCACGCCTGTAGAGGTAAACAAATTCAGCAAACCTCAACGATACGGGCACGTGCGACCCCCCGTACTCAACGCCGAAAACTGTGTAATCTCCTGTGGGTAGACGGATGCGGGCCCAACCACAACTAGAGTACCAACCCGGAGCTCAACGCCGACGGGGAAAAGATGCTGGTGTCTGCTTGGAAAGCCTTCGTAAAATCCCACGAAAACATTTTATCACGCCAATGCTCCTCGTGAAGTGAGTTGCACTGTACTACGGTCGCCTCGCACGTTGTTTGGCAAGGAATATGGACACCAAGCAACGAAAAGCCCAGCAACAAAGATAATCAGGAGCACATAAGCTGCAGTTGCGCCAAGCACAAAAGAACTTAGGCATTTTCGACAAGGGAAAAACATCAGCCAACGCCTGAGCGACAGCTTCTATCTGCGTTGCCCAACAGTAGCGCAAACAGTTTCAGGATCCGCCGTCTTCTCTGCGAGCGTCACTCACATCGATATAACTAATGCTGATAGGGAACTCTTCGGCAGCCAACTCAGCTCACACGCCAACAGCACACATCTGCATCCGTTTACTAACATATTCACGCCTGCTATTAGGCATGCCAGAACTATGGCGGTAGGCGTTCCAACGAGATGGCCGCTCTTCTGGCGCTTCAGCGCTGCCAGGAAGTGTTATAGTACTTTTCTTTTTGCAACCGCAACTATGGCGAGTACACAGGGCCATACTCTCTGGTCAAAGAGGCGAGCGATTGCAATGCCAGAACAGGCTGCCTTATTCCGAAGCCGCAAACGCAGATACACCAACTGGACAACCCCATTGTGCCCTCGCCAGAAGACCCCTTACCGCTAAGCCCTATAAAGTGAATGAGACTTTTGATAGGCGCAGTCGGCTTTTCTCAGAGCAAACAGGTCGAGCGCGGGTTGATTCATAACGGGATGGAGCAGCACGGGGCGGTCGAGTCAACTATTTCCATGTTGAAAAACGAATCCTAAAATGTTCAAGAACCAGGGTGAATTTCATGCATGTGAGGTCAGGCACTCTGTAAGGTGTTTTACTTGAACGTAGTGGCTAATGAACTGCAAACTACCGCACTCACAAGTTGCAAGTTTCGCTAGTGCCCAACAAAAACACAGTGCAACATGCGGCGTCAAGCCAAAACCTTTCGGATGCAATGTGGAGCACTCTTCCTTCTGTGTAGCGACAAAACAATGAGCTCCGAGAATCTTACATGTTTAGAGTAATCGCAATGCGGATATACACGGCCATGTTGGTCTCACTGTCGGCTGCAGCCAGCACTTTACTATGCTCGCCCTCTGCAGGGAAGTGCCCATTATTCAACAAAGGGTCGCCACCAATACTGCAGACAACTTAGAGCCAACAATTGAATACACTGTACTGGCCATATACCACCTTTTCCGCTAACGGATATAGCTTATCGAAGCGTTCCACACCACTGGAAACGAAACAGTCACTCGCTCTAGGAAACGAAAATCAATTTCTCTTCGCACTTCGATGCCATACATGTGTGCAAATGAACACAGTAATGTTAAAGCTCGCAAGTGGTAGACACAAGCCTGCCTCCTGGATTAAATTGCATCTGGTGTTCCAGGCTTCTCATCAACCAACGTAGCGTCGGAAGTGTTCCCACATCATTGAAAGCTAGCCTTGCGCATACTGCCTGAACAACATATGACAAAATTGTAACGACAGAGATGACTTTATCGGACGCCGACAGCAGATGCACTCAGCAATACAAACTACACGGCGCAACAAACCTCAAAGACGCAACCACCTCGACTGTCCCCTAAACACTGCGTAGACTCAAATCAGTACACAGACGCGATCCCAACCACAGGAAGCGAACCAAGGAGTTCCGAACCGACAGCAGGGCGATGATGGTTCCTACCTGCACAATCACCGTGGTAATGACACATGCCTGAAGTATGTCAGTAGGCGTGCCGAGGAAACGACTTTGGTTTTGGCATTGCAGAGGTGTTACAAACCATAAGAGACGCTAAGACCTTTTATATCTCTGCAGTTGTCAGGTAGTCAGGCCCATACTGTCTATAAAAACGCGAGCGCGATTTCAACCCCAGAAACGAAATCGTGACACGGCTAACACAGACGTGTTCGCAGGCACTACTCAGGGGACGGTGCTTACACGTGGTGGTTTCCTAGCTCGGGGCCTAGAAGGCGTCAGGTGCTTTTAGGCAACTGAAAGTAATTTATTTTCGTCCAATTGAGCCACGAGCAGGCCTGTTACCAAGTGAACACAAATTCAGCTAGCGGGACCGGGCATCCTTTTCAAAACAGTCGTTGAGATGAGAGTAGCAATAATCAGCGAATATTCAAAGCGAAGAAAAGGTATCACGCATGTGAATTGAGTCGTGCTGCGTGCTGCATCCTGCGCGCATCAGTCGTTAATACAATGCGCTACGAACAATCGATCAGGGCCTGCCTTTCTCGAAAAAGGGAAAGCAACACATCAATGCTTTGCAGTTATAACCAACCAACACCAGCTAGATTTTCCTTGCCGAAACAGAGCCATCGGCATGCAATACAAGTACACCTTTCTTTCGCGGCGACCTCTCAGTCGTGCCAAATGAATTGGTGGCTGGTGGAAGACCTGCGCGGTCCTGGGTGTTTCCAAAATGCGATGTGAGGAGCTTCAGAACCTATGATGCTTGCACCTCCACAGCGGCTCGCCCACCGCCATGCCCAGGGTTCGCAGAAAAGCTGCCATATTGCGTGAAGAACTTTGGGGTCGTTGCAACTAGAGCATAGATAGGAAAATCGGCGTAAGCTCTGCTCCCTCCGTTGGCATATCGCACCGCACATAACCAGTGTCAATAATTGTAGTGTGTAATAGCATCCGCTCGCTGGCAAATGCATTACGGTATCAAAGTAACACTTCATACTACAATTTCACAAATTAACATGCACAAGCACACATACTCACAAATCCTCGCAAACGATTTAAAGGGTGAAACCATGTGTAGGCGCGCCAAAGCGCAAGACCATAGTGCCATAGACTCCGTCGTCGGTAGGCGCCCGCAGAAACGCTCACACAAAAACACAGCCTGCTTGCTTTGGAAATGCTAAAAACTCTTCAACAGACTGAACGTTCGTCACACGCGAAACGCTGATAGCTAACAATGTGCATACTTCCTGGACGGGTCAACGCAAAACAGTAGCTCCAGAGAAAGAGTTGTTACACCATGCGGGGCGACGCACACACAACTATAACCCCAGGCTGCGAATACGCCTACCACAAATTGGCGGTGATCCCAAAGAGAGCATGCCAACCAAGCCGAAGCTTGACGTTGAGATCAAATCGATGTTGTCTGCTGTCCGGCTAGGATTTGTCAAGTCACTACACGTTGGATGCACTTAAAAGTGGACAGCAGGCACCCTGTAACGACATGGCACAAGAGAGTACCACATGCGTGATGTGCACATGCTTCAAGCAAAAAACAGTTCAGCCATTCTCGCCCATAGGGCAACACCAGCAGTGTGTTCGCTTGCTTTTGCATTGCCATATAGCTGCACAAGCGGGCAAATGCTCCTCCTTTCTGCAAGTGATTTGCCGGTCTACAAACTACAAGTTGACCATGCTGTCACATGCTGCTCGCTCTTCTCTTTTCCTGTCCCCCGCATAACAGCATTTCAGCAACACCTGAAGTAAAAAGAATCTAGCAGCGGATTTTTGCTCCTCTCGTGTTTTCCTCTTCTAAGAAACCACCTCACCACGTGGCAGTTTGTAGTGCCAGTCCAGTCTCTTTCACAAAACGTCGAAACACCCTGCGCCAATAGTAACCAAGGAAAAGCAAAACTATACCCTAACTATTGTCTTGTTTCTCCTGCCTGTACATGCAAAAATTTGCATGCAAGAATATACGCATTCATGGCACGAACCATGCCTGAAATGTGGTAACAAGCTCTACAAGAAAATTGAATTTGTTTCTCGTGCGTCAGATATGCACAAGGGTGTTCGCGACGCTAGGCGTTTTCCTTCATTCCACCTATGTCCTGGTGTCAGATCCATACTCTCTGATTAGAACGGGGAACGGATGCAAAGGCCTCGTTTCACCGCACCTATACATACCCGAACAGATGCTACAGAACCACACGGTGTTTACAGATACATGCCCCCCGTAGCCGGGTGCGAATCATGCTGCAGATGGCACTGATTCCCAGTAGCGCAGACGAACCGAGAGAAATCCATTGCAATCGAGTGCTGTGGCCTGCTTGGGGCGTTCGGGTCAAATCACACCCTACTGCCACATCAACTAGAATCAGGCAGTGCTTACGACAATGTGCCACATTCTCTCCGGAAGTTTTTGCTAAACGCTTACGAAATACCGGTCGCGAAATTGCTATCCCGATACACAAAAGGCACGCTCACACGATGCGCAGCTACCAACAGCGCAACATTCCTCGCTAACCCCGAAGCGCTCGCCTGCAGTGCGGATTGGACTTTCTCGTGTATAACCGAATGCGTAGAAAACTGTCGTATGCTCTTCCTGGTTTTTTCAACGTAAGCACCATGCATGCATATACATGATCACGGTTGGTCGCACTGTCAGCTGCAGCCCGGCTTCGCGGATGCACGTGGCCCACTAGCTCATAGCAGCCCCCACTTTACAGATTCTCAAGTTTGCACAAACGGATAAAAACGTCTATGTGTGCCCGCGTACAGTCTGAAACGCGAAAGCTCTCATAGCCGCTTCAAAAATATCAGCTTGCTCTGGGTAGTTGAGGGTTTATTTTGTGAATTCTTGTAATATCCGCAACACCGGCTGGCACTGACGAGCTTACGGCCTGGCCAAAACACCACATGACCTTTACGCCAGGTAAAGCGTCGGCACATGGAACCCGTGAATGCGCCAACACGAACTACACAAACCCATGTTACTCATCGTGATACAGAGATCCCACTCCGGCCAAGATGTCCACGCCGGCGCCTAAAAGCGATAGCAAGAAAGGTTTTGGCTTCTTACTGGTCCCTTCACCACGCGCGTAATCTCGTATGCTGTGAACCATTCCCCTGACGTCCATGCGTATGGATATGGGCTAAGAGTACCATCCACCGAAATGTACAGCGGCCTAGAGTAGAAGGAAGACATTGACGGACTGCGCCTCCCTTACTGCAAAACAACGTAGGCGCCCTCAACCAGCCAGAAATGTCAGCCTACACCAGTCTCCGGCATC